AATAATAAACATAGTGCACACCATTTTAGCTTAAGTTGGACTTTTCGAAATGTTTTACCAATATCATCAAGACAAATATACCATTACACACGAAAATTATCAGGGATTAAAGGCCTATAGGCCTCACAGTATGGCGAAAACCTGACCTCTATAAACAAATTACAACGAACGTTATGAAATAAAAATATTGAAGTTATTCTTTATTTCTAGCTTATAAATGAATAAAAGTTAAAAAAGTTATTGACATTGATTGAAAGAGCTTTCTATTCTGATCAGCTTTCTAAATGTTTTATTAACCTTTAATTTGGAGAAAATTCTGAGCGTTCATGGATACTTTTGTAAACTGCGGGAAAAAAAATCTTTCAAAAAAATCAAGTACTAAAATTTCTATTTTTTTTTTCTAAACAAGTTCATATTTAAGATTTTAAAATCACAATTGCTTTTTCGTTAAAAGGATTTACTTGTCCTACTTTATTGCATTTTTTTTTTTTTTTTTTTGGTTTTTATAATTCAAGATACGTTAGAACTTTTCATACTATCAGAAATATTTTTTTTTTATTCTTAAAAAGAATAAAAATCGTTTTGTCCATAATAATTTACAACTGCGGGGAAAGCTAAGGAAAAAAATAATAATAAAAAGTAAGATATTTTCGAAAATAAGTAAAATACATTTATTTTTCTAGGATCCTAATCGTAGTTGGAACGAAAGTTGGGACAATTGTCTGAAACTTTTCAGTATACCAAAGAAAAAAAAATTTTTTTTGAAATCGGTGACACACTGATTATGATCTCCAATTGTAAGTTTATAACAGGGTAAACAAATTTATCAAGTTCCTATGACTCTTTAGTGCAGTAGGAACCCAAAAATACAATATTCGTCTCTTGTCGATAATCCAAACTCTGCTGCTAACTTCGGTAAATCGAAAAAATGATTTTGATATATTCAATAACTCGAAATCTTTTTTCGTAAGAAGAGGTAGAGAGAACGTTCCATAATTCGAAATACGCCACTTCTGCTCTTTATAACTCGAAATATTCCTAGTAATATTTTTTACATGAGGCTGTAATAATATAAAATGTATTTAACCTCTCACATATTCCCAAAAATATTAAAAACTGTTAATAACTCGATCATTTTTTTCTTTTCTCTTGATAATTCAAACTTCTTAATGATTGGAAGTCTCGATAATTCGATTTTTTCTTGTAGTCCCTTAAATTTCGAATCATCCAGAGTTGACTGTAATAAAATTATTTTATTTTTTTATTCTTTAAGTTTGTATGATAATTTGTAGTTTGTCATGATACTGAGAATCAGAAGATGTGTTGTGATAAAATGTGATAAAATAAGGAACAAGGAAGGAATAAGGAAAATCATTATAGGCACAAGGAAGGATAACACCAAGTAGACCGTCTTACTAGTTATTATTTACTGCCTTGATGTAAGTGAGGAGATCTCTCATCCAACTGCTTTTTAGCCTCCTCCTGATGGGCATGTCAGTCGTGGCCATGTCGTTTTAAGTCTGTGTGTCCGTGTAGTTTGAGATGAAGACGAGTGTACGGAGTACGTATAAGTTGGTCTGTAGTAAGTCGTTGTGGAAAGTTTTGTTGTTGACGTACCAAGGAGCTCCTGTTTTAAGTAGTATAATTTTGTGTAACAATTACTTACTAAAACCTATTTGGACTTACGCATCACAGATATTTGGAACTGCTAAAAAGACTCACTTAAACAAACTTCAAATCTTTCAATCAAAAACATTTAGAACAATTACAAAAGCACCTTGGTACGTTAGCAACATAACCTTACATACTGACCACCATATGCCGACTGTTAACGAACTCATTACAAGCGATTCCATGACAACTTACAAGAACATCCTAATACACTTATGACATGGCCACTACGAATATGCCAGGTAACGTCTGTAGGAGATTGAAGAGGAGCTGGATGAGGGACCTCCTCGCCTAATGTAGATATCACGCGGAGTGAGGTGCCGCTGGGTACTGCTTCCCCTCATTCCTTTCAAGACATTATATTTAGAAATCGATCTCACATTCACTGGTTGTCATTACTATTATGACAGGTGTGAATAAAAAAAATTAAAAAAAAAAAAAAAAGTAGCTCGTTTAAGGGCTGTGGTTTCATTTTGAGGTGTGGATCCCAGGTCATCCTTTCATTTCACAAAAAAAATAAAAAACAAATTAAATTTAAATTATTCTTAACAAGGATATAGCAAACTCAGCATAATATGGCAGTTTTGAAAGTTATTAATTTTATCTATTACAATTATAGTGATATAATATATAAACGAAATGACGCCAGACGCCGGGTTGGGTATTACATTGTGTTTGGTACTCCAATTACGCAACTCTAATTACTTCACGCTGTAGCCAATTAGACGCTACACGTCGATAACCTAATCCTCCTCACTCATGCAATGTTATCGGTGACTTGAAAGAGAAGCGAGCTTAGATTAGTTCCTGTTCCAAGAGGTTTGATGATTAGCTCGGGAAGTGGTTGAGGAACTATTGTCAAAACACCGGTAATTGTTCTAACCGGTTTTGTTGTACTCTTGGTAGCGGGTTTTATGCCTGTCCCCAGGCAAGCAACTCTAAAGTAAAGCTAAATTAAATCTTTAAAATTTACTAAAACCCTTATAGTGCAATAAATATTTTCTGTTTCAAAAGCATTCCACGATATGCAAGAAATAAAGAGTATTGCATCAGCTTAAGAAATTAAAATTCATCGACTCCCACATATTTTCTGGAAATAAAATTTCTGTACCTTTAGTTTGAATTGTTCATGTTTATATATTAATTATTGTAGTGTACAGTAAATTTAGAAGAGATTATCATATGATCACATAATGCAATGGGTTCTACAACAAACACCAACAATAATTGATAAATTAGAAATATAATAGCTATATAACAAATAATAATAATAATCAAAGATATTGGATAAGAAAAGTGCATAAATATCTTCATATAAATAAGTGCGTCGAAAAATTACCTGCCTGTACTACCTCAGACTTGCTTCTCACAAAACTATGGTATGGGTCCTGTGATATATCGAGTGATATATCCTGTGATATAATACCAATACGTGATTTGGTTCTAATAACCTAACAGTGTTATCTGTTATGATGAGTGAAAGAGTATACTAATATTGCAGTTTTGTGTTTTAATATTCAAATTTCCGACTGCTCCAACACTTATTAGACAAACGCTCCAAACTTTCTATTAATTACAAAAGACTTATCTACATAACTATAATAAGACCTATATGGACATACGGAGTTGAGCTTTGGGGCTCCACCAAACCATCGAATTCCTATCGTATCCAATCCTTACAATCCAAAATCCTCCGTAAAATCCTTAATGCTTCATACTTTGTCACAAATAAAACCATTCATAAAGACCTTAATGTACCATATGTCGCTGATTTAGCTCGAGCCAGATATCTATCCTTTCATGATAAACTTGTCCCATCCAAATCCGCTTGTTTCCACTCTTGCTTCTTTCTCGATCCCTGATAATCCTCCTAGGCGTCTGAAAAGGAGATGGCCTCGTGATCTTCTTACTTAAAATTATTTAGAGAGTGCTACCACTGGGTAGTAACTCTTCAAGCCTGTACATTTGTAACAAGTGTATTTGTATTTGTATACAGTTGTAAATTCCATTAAATAAACAAAAAAAAAAAAGTATATTCAAATAATTTACATTTGACGACGAGGATGAGATAAACCTTTAGGATTATGAAACACAATCATACAATAATAAAAGAAAAACAAGATTAGAACAAAAGAAAACTTACAATAACAGAATAAATCAAACATGAGACAAAATTAAATAAAAAGAAAAAAATTAAAACACATTGATACTTATTTACAGTCAGCCGAGGGAGCTTCGAGTCGGGCCTTTCCCCTCACGTGTGGTGGACAAGGCAAGACTCCAAGAGATCCCAGCGCAGAATGGGAATCCAGTGGAAACTAAAGGGAGGGCACTAAAGCCACATACGCTCATGACTTGTGTGGAGAAGCTAGGGATGACTGGTACTCGATAAGGATTGTGCTAAGGGAATAGGATGATGGATTAAGTTCTGTTGAAAATTTGAAAACCGGGATGGAATAACGTCAAGAAGATAAGATATGTTAAAGTCATGATGTAAGGTTTTCTTCGTAACATAATAACAACTTGTCAGAAACGTTTATAATTTATTTGTGTTCTTTAACCATGTTTTATGTAAATATTATCAGTTTGACCCGGTTTCATCTCTCAGCTATACTTCTGTAGATAAATAATTTTACAATGTCCATCCCCCCTCAAAGAAATTTCATTGCTCTCCTTCTTCTTTCTAACTGTCCAAGCAAAAATATTGCTGTATAAATTATAGTTTATATACAATTACAATTGCTGTAGTCTGTTCCATGTTTCCTTGTACACTGGTTTGAAAGCTCTTTATAATTGAAACTCAAAAATGTATGGTTCTGTTGAAGTTCATTATCACGTTAAAATGTGCCTCCCCTAAAAAAAATGACGATAAACGTAAAAACGTACACCCTTCAGTTATGTAGATGGCGTTATGCCACCCCATGCAGTTTTGTAATTTTCGGTTCGTATGTATTGGAAATGAATGAAACAAACTGTTACTATTTGTGCAAACTCCCATGTCTAGTCTTTATCGAGCAAGTCATTGCGGCTGTTTGTATATTTTTGCAATTGATATCGCGTAACACCGGATAACTGTTGAGTATATCATTGGGTTGGTTTTACCGCGAGACGGAGGACGACAAAGACACCTTGTGCAGCTGATGACTTGAGGAATGCAGTCGTCTTTGCCTGGATAACTGGTCCCTTAAAAATAAATGAGCTTATTTTCGATACATCGGTTTGGGCGGGGCCAGGGTGCCACACCTATTTTACAAGGAAGTATCAGATGCTACGGCCTTGGCACTCGCTTTATAAGCCTCAATCGGAGCCTGGTCTGTGTCAATTGGTCTCTCAGTCAGACTCCAAAAAGCAGCATGAAGCTCCTGGTAAGGCAGTGCAAACATTACTATAGATAAAGTTGACGGTTGTTAGGGAAAACAGTTATCATTAAATACAGTACGGTCTCTTCAAATTTTCGGATATATTTTCGGAAAAATTGAAAAAGAAGGATACATCACCCGTATACAGTGTACAGTTAAAATCATCAAGTGGTGTATAAGATTTAATTTTCAAAAATAAGATCTCGATAGCGTTCTAAATTCATCTATTATATTAATTTCATCGTAAAAGCTTTGCAATACTTCTGTTGCATTGAAAATGTTATTGTCATACTCGAAGGATTTTCCTGTTTAAAGGATTAAGACAAAGGGATACAATTTGTTAAACATCTATTGTGATTTTCTTAAGTCTATATAAAATTATTTTGATTTCATTTTGTTAATAATTATATCATTAATTTATTGGCGTTTGAAGATATTTGTTTCTATATAATTTTAGTGAAATTTTGATGTAGTAAGGAAAAGTGGCAATTATGAATTTCTAAAAGTATCCTATTGTAATCCTTGAATAACATTAAAATAAAAATAATAGCAAAATAACGAATAATTCATTGGATCTTTGAAATTTTATTTTTATAATCAATATGCCTAACTCTATTTACATATACAAAATTTAAGTATTTCTATTAGAAATATTAACCAAATATTTCAAAATTTATTTATTTTTTTTAAAAATTAATCATATAAGAAAGATATTTTTTTTTTTATAGTTAAGATTAGTTCGAAACAAAGAGTTAAGATTAGTAACATTTTGAAATTTGTTTCTTAATTTGTAGAAATCAATGAAAGTTTACTCTTAACACCCTTAATTGTTGAAAGAAACATGGAGTATTATTCCGTCAATTTCTTGAAGCATAATGTTATGTCTTATGGGATTATCTTAGCATGATTTCACATTAAGAACGTGTAACTGCATGATTTCGTAGTTAGTACTAAGCATTTCGTAGAACGTATTTAGTCAAAAATCCAACTTCGTAAAATGTAACGTAGACTGTTATTAGAACAAATCCCTAAAGGGAAGTGAATTCATGATGCTAGTGAAGACATTTTCCGTTCAGTATTCTATCTGTTTGATACTATCATTATACTTGATATTTTGGTATTGATTAATTATTTATTTCATATCATTCATTAGTAATGCGTAAGATTATAAAATAAATATTTTTTAACTTTGTGGATTAAGAAACCATTGGGTGTTCCAGGTCGTTCTCAGCGCCGTGATGGCATGCGCCTTGGCCAGGCCAGGCCTCGGCTACAGTAGCTGGGCCCTGCCCGGAGGACTGGTCGCCGCTCCAGTAGCTCCAGCCTTTGCCGCTCCCATCGCTCCTACTCTCGCATACCGCTCCTACGCCGCTCCAGTCGTCGCCGCCTCACCAGTGGTCGCTGCCTCTCCAGCATTCGCCGCCTACAGCGCCATCCCAGCCTTTGCTCCCTTTGCCTCTCCCGTAGCTGCCCCAGAAGCTGCCGTCGCTAAATCCGAGGCTCCAGCTGCTGCTCCAGCTGAAGCTCCAGCCCCAGCTGAACCCGCTTCCGATGATGCTGTTGCAGTAGAAGCTGCCCCCGCTGACTCCCCAGCCCCAACCGAATCCTCCGCAGCAGCAGAAACTCCAGCCCCTGCTCCAGCTGAAGAAACCCCAGCCCCTGATGCCCCAGCTCCAGCCCCAGTTGCTCCAGTTGCTCCAGTTGCCTCAGTCGCCTCCGTCGCTGTCCCAGTTCCCGCATGGGCCCCAGCTGTCGCACCAGCTCCAATCTTCGCTGCACCAGCTGCCGTCGCCGTCGCTGCTCCAGTCACCAAGTCCCAGTACCACGCTCAAGATGAATTCGGCAACACTGCCTACGGACACGCTGAACCAGGTTCCGTTCACAGCGCCGTCCAGGACGCTGCAGGTAACAGAGTTGGAAGCTACAGCTACCTGAACCCCACTGACGGACAGGTCCACAGAACCGACTACGTCGCCGATGGCTTGGGTTACAGAGTTGCCGCTAACGATCTTCCAGTTGGTCCAGCCGCTCCAGTCGCTGATACCCCTGAGGTTGTCGCCGCTAGGGCCGCCCATCTCGCCGCTCACTCTCGTGCCCGTAGGAGCGTCCTCACCACTCCAGCCTCCACCGCCCCTCTGGCCACTACAGTAGTCGCCCATGTCGCTGCCCCCTTGGCCTACGCTGCCCCATGGGCCTATGCCGCCCCAGTCGCAGCTCCAGTTGTCGCCGCACCATATGCTGCTCACTTTGGCCTCCCAGCCACCCTTACCACCGTTGTCAACACCCCAGGACATGCCGTCTCCTACAGGATCGACTGAATTGTATAGGTTGAAGTGAGACCAGAGCTTTTGAGACCTGAGTTGGGTTTCACCTACTACCTATAACATATTGACTGTGAATTTATTAGTTTCATAATAAATTTATTTAATTTTTACGAAAATTTACCACATACCCAAGTAATTAAATAACTTCATTCCAAGATCCATTCATACAAATAATTAAAGAATAATAATTCTTATATATTACGAGTTATCCCTAAATATTTTGTTGTAACCCTTACGTTGTTGATTCTATACATCGTATTATAATTTTTAAAATATAAATTAAAACCGATATTCTGATTACCACAAGAATGCACGAAAAATATTAATGTGAATAAAGTACTATGTAAAAAAAATAGACAATTTACATATTCACTATGATAAATTTTACATCAATGTTATTAAATATGAATGTTTTTATAATGCGCAATAAACCTCAACTTAATTAACTTGAAATTAAATATTATTAGACAAAGAAGTTCATTTAAAGATAGAAAAACAATAGTCTAGTAGGAAACTATTAAAAAAAAACAAAAAAATTATTGACTTAGATAATAGAAAAATGTGTTTAGCTTTGCTCCTTGAAAGCTTTCTTGAGTTAGTTTAATCAAAGACAATAACACACAGGTTTTTCAAAGAAAACTGGCTAGTTTCATTTGCTGCAATTAAGGATCGCATAACTTTAAAAGGTTTCAGGTTTTGGCTTCCTATTAAATAAAAAATGATACTAATAAAAATAAATAAATTTGCTTCTGTTCTGTGCGGAATCGTACCCTGGTCCATATTATATTTTTTTACGATTAAGATCTGCTATTGCTTTAGCATTTCGTATTTTATTTTCCACTTCTTTATTAAGAAATATTATTTTCTCTAGTCTTGGGAAATATTATCTTATAAGTCTCAAATTGATAAAATTGATAAAAGTGTTCAGTGAGCACATTCACACTTTATTTACAATAAATAAAAATCAATTAAACAGCTAAACAATCAAAACTAGACTAATCAAAATAACAACTTAAAGATACATACTATTTTACATAATATTTACAAAATTCATTCATTCAGAGAAATTCTATTCATGGAAGGAAAGGCAAGGCTCTAGGAGATCCCAGTCCCACTAACTCAGCCATATTACTGGCATTAAGGACCAGTGCTATAGTATTTAAAGATGTTTCTTTAAATATTATCTGTCCTTTACGCACAACCTAGAGAAGCATTATATAAGGCGCAAGAAGAAAGGTGTTTACATAAATACATTCAAGATTTCTATTTAATTATTCTAGACAATATAACGAAAAACTACTTAGTTTCTGGTGCCAGTAGATAATAATCTATCTTTATAAAATAATACGACAGTTTTTTGCATCAACGAGGATCTATTCAGATTAATGAGGTATCAAACGAAAGGGTATTAAATGAAGCATTGACGAATCATAGTAACATCCACCAGAAATTTTAGGAAAAAATGTTTTTTTCGAAATACTTAAAAAGTATACATGTTTTTCTTGATCAGACCCATAATTATTTGAAAATTAACTGAATTCCCTACAAAATGAAGAAAGGAAATCATGAAAATCGATTAAAAATTTGTAAATTAGAAACAATTTGAACCGACCCTAGGAACAAGGTAGGTTCAAATAATTTTTTAGGGGGGAACAGAATTGAGATTTGTATTCCGCATCTCGAGGAATCCTCAAATATAAATTTTCATAGCAATAGAAAAGAAAAATCCTATGAATTGAGACCAAGGTATGATTTTTTTTCCAAAATCACAAAAAGTGTGAAAACTTTAAAATGCCTCCACCAATCCATGCGGAATTCAGCAGGAATTTAGAGCTATATATAATACACGAAATGACACAAATTGGACTCCCCTAATTATTCTAAGACTTGATATATAAAATAAAAACGTGTTAGGAGTTTTATGTATTTGCACCTCATGGAGATATTAGTTCAAAAAGTTACTCATACGCCTTTGAACAGCAGTAATTCGACTTTCCAACGGTTATACTTGTACTGATTTAGAAGAAAATCCTGAGTAGTTTTAGTAAATAAAGGTTTTAGTAAATTCCAGGTAAAAAATAATAATGAAATGTAAACCAGTTGCTATGGCTACTACCTCAACACTACTATCATTATAATATAATACGACAATTTATTGCAACAATTAATAACGATCCCTTTTACGGCTTTCAGGAGAGATGTATTTTGATGAATGAGGTATCAAACGAAAGAGTATTAAATGAGCAGTGACGAATCAAAGTATCATTCACCCCAAATTTTAGGAAAATAAGTTATGGATGAAAACAAAGTTTATTTTCGAATTACTTAAAAAGTAAAAAAAAAAAAAAAAAATATATATATATATATATATATATATATATATATATATATATATATATATAATATATATATATATATATATATATATATATATATATATACGCAGTTTAAGTACACAACACATGAACATCTAATGACAAAGGGGGCAACCCATGAGTCTTTCCTCCATGGTAAATATCACGGTGATGAACGCCTTGACTGAGCGTTGTGCCTATAAAGAACATCGGAAGGAAGTGGGGTTGGAAAATAATATTGCTGAAATTTTTAAATTAGCTGAAAAACTAGAGTATGGCAACAAATTGTTTTCATTTACTAAAAAACACAACTATATAACTTTTTTTTTGTTGTAAATTTTAATTTTGTTTTTTACCTTCAAGTTTACTGTTATTTTTGATATTGTGTAATATAAATATCGTGTAAGAGCTAAAATGACCAGTAAGTGGTTAGAAAGTCTCTATTGTTAGAAATGAAAACAATATATTCTATCTTTTATTTCTCACTGGTGTTTTATTTCGCCATATCTTCGTTTGTTCCAATTATCGGACCATCATTTTAAAGATTGACAACTCTCAATATCTCAGAAAAAAAAGCTGAATTTGGCCAAAAGAGAAAAAGTATGCAATTTACGGTGGATTAAATATATGAATAATTAAAAGGTTACAAAATTTCCTACAAAAAAAAAAAAAAAAAAAAATATATATATATATATATATATATAATATATATATATATATATATATATATATATATATATATATATATATATATATATCGAAATCGGGCCATCGGCGAGCAAAGAAATACCCTATACAACTGAAGTTTTATATTATTATTATGAATTAACTATTTCAATCCGACCAAGAAAGGAAATTGTATTCCTCCACCTCAAACCAGATTTCATTATCATATTTCCATACTATTTTATCTGTCGTTCTTTGACCAGTATTTAATGCGAATTATTCACACTGGTCAGCTCGTTATTTTTATTAGATATAAGAAGACTTATTTACAATTAATTAAATAAATAGAAGCGCTGCTATTATTTCAATTACGCGTGTATTGATAAAATTTATCATTTTCTTAAATTGTTTAACATTGCATCACGGATTGTAAACAGCTTGGAGATAAGGAGCATTGCATTTGAATGATGTCAAACAATATTAGAGAAACATCCAATGCATCCATAATACACAATTTTGGTGGGATAATATAGGACTTTAAATGTGAGTTACCTTTGTTGATGGTTCGAGTGTTCTTAAGCAGAAAACGAGTCAATATGGTGATTTTCCTCTCCATGTTTACTGTAATTTTCTATGTCTCCGCCTTTTATTCAATAAGACAAAAGAGAGCCGTGAGAGAAAGGAAATGTGAAAAAGGAGGACTCGAGTAAATAAGAGATCAAAGTGACAGTGGAAATAGAGGGAAATAACGAAAACAGGGCTGTTCCGCTTTGGGGGTTTTTCTTCATTCATTTTAATCTCCATTGTGCGTAGGGTTACCTGAGCCCTCCTGGCTGATGGTCCTTCTTCAGGGGCACGTGCAACAGCTACAAGGATCTCTTTCACAGGACCTCTTGGAAGGACATAGGTAATTTATTGAAAGTGTAAAGGATAGCTTTCAACTTAAAATGTAATCCTGTTTTGAAGAAGATAGGATCATTATAAACATCTGCTGCTGTTATACTCTACTTTTCTCCTTGACCATTCTTCATAGTTATTCTGTTAAGAGTTCAGAATTTATTTATCAGACATGGTTGAACACCAACTACAAGTTTGGCGAAAACGTTAAACAATGTTTAATATTAATATGCTAATAAGCTTCTTACATAACTAACATGTTATAACAATATTATGTTCTATATTCGTTTTGAAGATCGAGAATACTTCGCATGCCTTGGCTAGCTCATGAACTACCATTTCAGAAAAAAAAATTATGACAAGCTAAGATTGAAATGGTCAAAAATTACCCTGTAAAGTGGTAATGAAAACCAGCTAAGCTCAATATTTTTCGGTTTTGACATAGACAAGTAGTATAGATAAATTTTAATAGAATAATCTAAACGAACAGGCCAAAAACTAGTTTAAAAAAAAACATGCAGACAGTTGAAAAAAAATTAAGTACAGAAAATGTGGGGATACTTCATTTCCTTAAGATTAACGAACTCAGTCCGTTTTAGTCATATGAAATTCTTATAGATATTTTTTAAATTTTTAAAGTATCGTAAACTATCAAGAAAAAATATCTTGAAGGTGGTGATAGGAGTTTTTGACTGAATATGAACCACCGCAGTTTTATAAAAAGTTATGGATCGGTGACGGTGATGAAGGCTTCGAAATGTTGATAATATCCAAACCGAAGAGAATGGAAAAAAAGTTGACATTTGTGTTGGAAAACCATGTATATTATGTTCATTTTTTTTTAATTTCAGCTTTTTTTGATAAAAAAATAATAGTGTCACATTTTAATGTAGATACAATGCTGTTAAAAGGAGAACGTTTCTTTCTGTTTTTTTTAAAATATATATTTTCCTCCACAATATTGAAAAGTGGAGTTTTATTGTTTATCTTTTGACCCCTACATTATTACCTATTTTTTTGTCTGTTGGTTTTGCAAAGATTTAAATCATAAGTCAAGAACAACGCCCTCGGAAGCCGCAAGTAATTTCAGCCTCTAAACATTTTTGCACGATATTTATTAATCTAGTGCTAGAATTCATTAATGCTTAATTATTTAAGTAAGGACAATTTGAAAATTAATAGAATTAAGTTGAATGTATGTATGTGGATGTGTGTATCTAGTAATAAATAAAAATAGCAACGGTAAAATATAAAGAATTATTAAGGACTCCATTAGCACTGCCTAACCTTACTGTTACTTTAATGTTCTTGGCCTCAATATAAACATATTTTATTTATTCAAAGTCAAATGTGTGATACTCGGCTTTAAATCGATATCATGAAGTTGTGCATTTAATGAAAGTTGATGGTTTTTTTCCTCGGATATCACTTTATTAGAGAATTATCAATTGATTTAAAGCTACAATTTAAATGACTTTATATTGACATCAGAGTAGATTTTTTTTTCTGTTGAGTTCATAGGCCTCGTAGATCTTTGACAGTCTCAACCAGCCTATACCACCTTGGCCAATTATCAGGTTTCCAGTTTCCAGCATTCAGCTCTGTTGTATCTTTATTAATTCAATCCATCCATCGAGTTTTTCGCTCACCATGAGAACTATTGTGGCATTTATCGCAATGTTGAAACTTCCTGATGGACTACCAATGTCTTATTTGATGGAGGTAAAAAAAAAGAGAAAACAAAACTAAAATACGCTGTTTTTCGTAAGATAATAATAATCTCATTTTTAAAATAGTTTTAATTATCTCATATAGGCCATATGATATAGCATAATATTTATCTGAAATGAATCAACTCATTTCCCTAGTAATTTTACTAAATATAGTCTTAATAAAAATCACTGTATAAATTTTTTTTTTTTAATTTTAAAGGTGATATAAATAAAATGAAAACGAAATAAAGTATTATTGAGTAATATTAAGTGATATTCATAAATAGCTAGGTTATAAAAAGTAAAAATTGTAATCTGATGGTAGTAAATTATAAATTGTAGTTTTCCATCTCCCTGTTTGATATCAGTATATTGATTTCAGTATCTGGGTGCCGTGTCAAAATAAAAAATAAAATAACTTGTCATCTCATCTTTTAATAATCAATTTTTAAATGTTTTATTGATAACATAGTTTTCAAACCCAGTTAAAATTTCTTATAAACAAAAAGAGAAAGACTCTAAGTGTTAATCAATATCAAGTTTTATTCGGAAGAAGAAATAACTCACGGTAGTAATTAGTTATTGTTTGTATTTAGTGTTCCTAACCAAGTACAAATAGAGCATTTCTTGTTATGAGCGGATATCCCATTAGGTAACCAAGTCGTTAACTTACATACATCAGAATAGCTAATGTGCAGCCAGTTATTACCAACACCCATGTCCAATGTTGTCCACTATATATAGCCCTCCTCTAGCCATTGTGTTCAGTATCCATTCAGTATCTCAAACAACATGTGCGAACTAACAAAACTTCATTTAATACTTCTCGCAGCAACAGGATGCCTGGGATTCGAACATTTCGAACATCATCCGGTCAAGACACAGATCATCACCAAAGAGGAAGTCGTGCCGTATCCCGTTAAAGTTGAGAAACACGTTCCATATCCAGTCAAAGTCCCTGTCGAGAGACCAGTGCCGTTCCACGTACCTAAGCCATATCCAGTGCACATCGAGAAGAAGGTACCGGTTCCAGTGAAGGTCGAAGTACCCCATCCATATCCAGTGTACAAGGAAGTTAAAGTGCCAATAGAGGTTAAGGTTGAGAAGCCTGTGCCTTATCATGTGCCTAAGCCGGTTCCAGTATACGTCGAAAAAAAGGTTCCTTATCCAGTCGAGAAAAAAGTTCCTTATCCGGTAAAGGAAGTAGTCGAGATCCCCAAGCCATATAAAGTACCCTATATTGTCGAAAAGAAAGTACCTTATGTTGTTGAAAAGAAAGTGCCAGTGAAGGTTGAAGTGCACGTTGAGAAGCCTTACCCTGTAGAAGTTCCCAAGCCGTACCCAGTAACAGTGGAGAAGAAAGTACCTTACTTTGTGGAGAAGAAGGTACCATACGAAGTAAAAGTACCCGAATTCGTCAAAGTACCAGTACCCATCTACGAACACAGTAGTCAGGATTATTGGAAGTCTTCTAACCACGGAGGGCTAGAAACTTCAGGACATTTCCACCATTTCTGACAACCGGATAGCTTTCGCCGCTAGTTCGCTTCTCTCGGAGAAATGTAAATATTTAGCGGTTACATTGTGTTATTTATGTGTTTATAAGAATAAATTATTTGAAAATTTAATTCCTTTTTTTTCTCCTTAAACCATTCAATTAAATAAAATGAATAGTATATATTAGTTTATATCAATTAAAATAGTATTCTTGAAAAGCCTTTAATGGTATCACCTTCAAAAGTTCACATGTACTCATCTTCGGCACCATGTTAAATTAACGAATGTGAACCTATTTAACGTTGAACATTGTTTACTTTAACATGGTGCCGAGGATATAATGAAATTCATTTGGTGGCATACATCTGTATAAAGAATAATCTAAACAAATTTAAACTGAAAAAAACATCAAATTGAGAAAAAACGTTTTTTACTATTTTGATTAACTATCATAAGAATTATACATTTATAAGGCAGAAAATAAAGGGTGACAAGTAAGTAAGAATATAACATTATTATGAGCATTATTGATCCAAAAGGTACTACTTTCCGGAAGAAATCTGTATATACAAAGACGGATGTATGTATGTCTTTTTGGCTTTTATGAAATACTAAACCATTCATCCGATCGCATTGAAACTTTAAATAGTTGTTGCGTACACTCCCGCGAACTTTTCCCGTCATAGTAAACCCGTATTATGATAATTGAATATGTGCATAAAAAATATAAAAATGTAAATGTTCGTTTGTTGAAAACGATTAATCTCCGAAAGTTCTTCACAGACTGCTTTGCAATTTTGACGCGACATTTCAATCGAATTCAGGAATGTTTCTATGAACATTTCAATACCATTTGGCGACACGCCGACCGAAAAATGGGCCTCGCTATTGTCTGCCCACGCCAAAACATCTGTAACGATTATAATGAAACTTGGCTAAAGTCTTCTCCCTGAAACCCTTTTAATTTTTGTATATGACATACCCGAAAATATGTTGCGAAAAATTTTACGATGAATTCAAAATTTTGTTTGCCAATAACTAGAAAAGTATACATGTTTTGATGGATAATATTTATTTGGAAGCTCTCTGAATTCTCTAAAAAAAAAAAGTTATGGAAATTGGACGATTCGTTGCAGAGATATAGAGTTTTAAAAATGTATTACTGTTTCTTCGGAAAAGGCAATCCCCTCCCTTTTTTTTTTTGGTTATTGATTAATCGGAAATTTTATAATTTAAAAAATTGACATTATCATTCGAAGAAGTGATATGATTCTCTTTATGTAGGTTAATACTATTATACCCTCTTTAAATACAAATTTATATTTTACCCCAATGTATTCGGAAAGTAGTATGTTACATCTTAAATATTTGATACAACTTTAAGCCAAAATTTCAAGGCAATCGGTGTAGAACATTTGGAAATTTTAGATTTTAAACGAACGAAAATTTTTCATTTATATTTACCATAAAATAACCAAACTAACCATACTTTACACAATAAATTAAATTAAAAAATATTAATAATAAAATTAAACACGAAAATAATGAGTGGCTTCTTATCTCAGACGGATCTCTGTCACCTTTAAATAACAGAGAAAAAGTCCATTTTTGTTAATGAGTTCAATTCAAGCTGTTTCTGATGATTTTATTTAAGGATATTTAAGTTGAATCGTGGAAAAAAAATCCTTAGAATTAGTTTAAATTGAAGCTTAATTAATTAATTGATGTTACAGATTTTTTTCTCAACTTTCTATAAGTGACAGATTTTTTTTTATATTAAGTAGCTCATACGTGGTTTACGTCTTCACCATTTTGCCATACTGAACCACAGCAGCGCGTGGGCGACTGCGTAAAGCTAGTATTAAATAAAATCTATATAAAACAAATTTTAAACTCTGCTTATTATTCCTTTAATAACAATCAATGCAAATGACAAAAGAACATCACGTTATTATTATTTTTGTTAATTGTCAAAAAAATTACACCTTGCATATTTCGCATTTATGACTTGTAAAAAACAAATGATAAATCATGGAAATAATGTAACAACTTTTAGATTTTTTTTTCATTCAGTGATTTAAAAAATAATGATAAAAATGAATGTTTTATAACTTCTTCGATATATCTGGTTATAAACTAATATTATATTCTTGTTTATGTTGAACTATATTGGAAAGATCTTCAATTGTTTAGTATTTTTGGCTGTTAGTTTTTTAGTGCTTGAGAGTACTTTGGGTATCTTCTAGTGATTTATTAATAAAATGTGTGATTAAGATTCGGGATATAATTCCATCTATTAAAATATAAAATATGACAGTATAGAATAATATCAATTATTCCTTCATTTTTATAAACATCAATGTGTGTTATATGGCTTACTATCGAATATTTTATATTAATAGTTCATTTATTTACTAGGTATTTTTTTTTAGCATGTAAGAGTATGTACGTTTTCTAATTTATTGGCCAAAGTAAAATGAATAATGGGGATATTATTCAGCAAACTTTCCGCTAATACTTCTTCGATGCAGGATGTTCCTTGTTCCTGAGGAACGAAGACAAACGACAGCCAACGGACAATCGAAATAAGGTCCAGATAGAACGCAACAACGGTCAGATGCCGACCAGAGATAGCCGGAGGGTAAGCTGCTACTTCCAGATGATGAATGACGTCGGAATGACGGCCCTCCCGTTGAACCGGAGTACGATCCGTCAGTCTATTAAGATGGATTGTTTTCCAATGACAGCTCCTGTCCATCCACAGGCAAATGAGCCAGTTCGAAAATAGATCAAGTCTCTCCTGGCTGCTTTATTAGGCAGCCTTTGTATATGGCCTTCTGGTCCTGGATGGTTCCGGAAAGGATATGAAAAAAACGATAACTAAAGTTTGTTTGTTGTTAATAATAATAAATAATATTTAACCACATTTTACTTTAAGATATATTTGTTCCTATAAAACTGTAAAATCCTTGTGTAAAAAAAAATCAGATTCCATGTCGCTTGCATTCCATCTCACTGATACATTTATTTCAGCTTGTATGGCTTAAGTTCAACTTTATAGGCGGTTGTTTCTTCAATCATTAAAATCATTAGATTAATTTATCTCTATAAATATAGACTTTGTATGAAGAATATATGTTGAGAACAAGTATATAAAGTTCCATTAGTTCACAGGCTATAAGTAACAAAGAACCTAAAATTATGAATTGAAACTATAAAGGTTTCTAATACTTGGATTACCACAGGAATAAGTATCAATTTGTATTTATTTATTTTTGTTATTTAATAACTTATCTGTTTTAAAAAAAATACATATAGCAAATAAATTGTTTTCATTCAAGTTTGAAGTGATGTTTTATATATCACACAAATCATATTCCTTTCTTATTCAAACCATAAAGCCATCATATCATTTATGTTTTGTCCTTTAATTATGATTATTAATTTATTATTTAATTAAATAAATCAACAAATTAAATTATTAACCGTATAATTACAGGTGATTGAGGGAATAAGAATAAGGTGATTTAATGAAATAACCTTATTTTTATAAACGGATAATATATTAAGAATTAGAACCGTTTTTAAGATATAAAAATTATTAATTTAATTTACAACCGTTCCATTAGCCTTTCGGATAAGACCTTTGCCTTACTCAAAACCCGAAGGTTAATACACATGGAGAAATTGGCGCTGCGTCATTCCAAGCGTCCTTGGCCATCGTCTGCAAGGATAGCGACCTTATGTTATCCGCAGGGTTTAATGCCTTCTTACGCCAACAGGATTTAACTATTTTTAGAATAGATTTTTTAAAAATTATTACAAGTCTTTAAGAATATGACATAAATAAGAAGATATATATTTATCTTCATTATAACCAAGATCCGTGAAAACGTGGTTCTATTTTAGTAATGTTAAACATTAGTAAGCAACAACAAAATATTTAATAAACTCTTCTTGACAAAATATTAACTACTCTTGTTCATTTCTGTGTTATCTGTTCACCTATTCTATTTTATATATTTTCAATAAAATATGATATTTCTTAAGCTGATTTTTATTTCAATAATAATAGCTGCTGGAAAAAAAAATACCCCTTTAGTTGCCTATATAACCGTTGATCAAAATATCTATTACTCAAGTACAATTAAAAAAAAAATGATAAGAGAAGTGCATATGTTTGTTTATTTGGGTTTAAAGTCATTAAATATCGCAGCTACGATCACGGGCGGATCTACGAGGAGGGGGAGGAGGAGCTTTGGTGCTGAAGCCCCCCCAAAATGGTAAAATATAACCATGCTTTATGGAAAAAAATTATCTATTAAAGTATTATTGTTCGTGTAATTACATTTAAAATGACTTTAGGAATCACTTAATCACCATTTCATGTAGGTAGATAGTTTCTTTCTTTTTTTCCAAAGTAATTATCGTTATTTTTATGAAAAACAAAAATTTTAGGCTGAAGCCCCCCCTCCAACATTAAAACTTGGATCCGCTATTGGCTACGATGGAGATTTTTAATACACTACCACTAGCGGATCCGGAATTTAGTTTTGGGGGCCTCCAGCCCGAAAGATTTAAAAAAATATATATATAACGATAATTATTTAAAAAGGAAAAGAAAGAAACTAATTACCTATGAAATATGAGATAGTGTTTAAGTGATTTTTTAAGTACTACAATGTAATTACACGAACTTTTAGAGATTATTTTAATTTTTTTTCCATTAGACATGGTTATATTTTACGATTTGAAGGTATTCGGAATTTAGCCGCAAGACTCCCTCTCCCCGTAGATTCGCCTGTGCACGATACTAACCTATTGTAGTTATAGTTTGAAAATAAAAAACTATTTGCACCAAGATTTTATTTCCTCTTCTCACCAGGGGGATTCCTAATGTTCTTAATCGAGATGGTTCGCCCTAACATATTGGGCCTTTTTTACTCTATTTTTTTCTGAATTTTACACTTTAATGATTTATTGTATTATTAATTCATAATTAATCAATTTCAAAACTGATC